ATAACTTTCAATCTTCGGACTAACTATAATAAAGTTTCTACTATGACATTATATAATAAAAAAAAAAAAAAAAAAAAAAAAAAAAAAAATTTTAAAATTTATATATTTGTAGGCCAGGCCGGGCTAAAAATTTAAATTAATTAATGCGGGCTGGGCCAGGCTAGCAAAAAAATTTTAACCCTAATTGCAGGCGGGCCTGGGCCGCAAATTTAGAAATTTGCAACTCTCTAGTCAAAAGTATGCCAAAATATCTTTGCTCAAAGTTAGAAAAAAATTCAAAATGTTTAACATAATAGAAGCTATACTAAATTCTTTTTAAAGCTTTAATCGAAGATAACTTAGCAACCATTAAACAAAATTCAATAAAAATTTTTATTTGAATTTTATAAATTTATAGAATTCAATTAAAAATTTTCATTGAATTAAGCAAGATAGTTGTTAAGATATCACTGCTCAAAATTGAAAAAAAAATCAAAATGCCTATCAAAATACCAAATTAATTTAAAAAATAACACAAAGATATTTTAACAATCATCAAACCAATTTGTTAAAGCTTTTGTATTTGAATCTTATAGGTATATAGAATTTGAATAAAAATATTTTTATTAGATTTAATTAGGTGGTTTTCGAGATATCTTTGCTTAAATTTATAGAAAAATCAAATGCTTATTGAAATAAAAGCTATGCCAAATTTTCTTTAATTTAAGCAAAAATATCTCAACAATCACTTGGCTAAATTCGATGAAAAAGAATTTTATAAATCCAGAAAATTCAAATAAAAAAATGAGTGTCAAGTTATCTTTATTTAAAATTAAAGAATAATTTGATACAGATTTTATTTTGATAGGCGGTTTGATTTTTTTTAACTTTGAGTGAAGAATCTCAATAACTACCTAACTAAATTCGATGAAAATTTTTTTATTTAAATTCTTTGAATAAATAAGATTTAAGTAAAAAAAAAAATTTTATCAAATTTGATTAGATGGATATTGAGATATTTTTACTTAAATTTTTAAAAATTCTTAGATATATAAACATGTGATAGGTTATTTTGACCCGGGTCAAAATAGAATTGGCCTTTAAAAAATAGAAAAACTTAATCTATACTCTGGGTAAAGAGTCTTATATTTATATAAAATTAAACTAATCAACATAGAATCATTTAGTTGTTGCTTTTGTTATCATTGTGTAGTGTTTTTACTATTGTTTTTTTTTTTGGTGCTTTTGTCATTGTTGTGTAGTGTTTTTGCTATTGTTTTTTTGGTGCTTTCATTATTGTTGTTGTAGTGTTTTTGCTGTCAATTTTTTTTTGATGCTTTCATTGTCATTTTGTTGTTTTTGCTGTCTTTTTTTTTTGTATTTTTGTTGTGTTTTTTGCTATCATTTTTCTTTTAGTGCTTTCATTGTCATCATTGTGTATTGTTTTTGGCATCATTTTTTTTTGATGCTTTTGTTATTATTTATGCAGTGCTTTTCATCTCTCTTTTGTGATACTTTCATCGTTGTTTGGTGGTGTTTTTGGTCATTATCTGTGGTCTTTTCAGTATTACTTGGTGATGTTTTTGTCATAGTTCTATGATGCTTCTGGTCGTCATTTGGTAATTTTCATTGTCATTTTTTTTTGTGATGCTTTCGTCTTCATTTGATGTGTTTTTGGTCATTGATTTGGTGGTGCTTTTAATTATTATTTGCGATACTTTAGTTGTTGCCTTCAGTGTTTTTTTGGCTTTTGTTTTTTGTACTTTTTGCTACTTTGTATTTTTTTTTTTAATAAATTATCTTTAATAAAAAAGACTTCAATTTTTTAATCTTTGGACCAATCAGATTTCGGCAGTACAGGATAAAAATTTATACCCCCGGGCATAGGATAAAAGCCTCTACCCTGGGTACAGAATAAGGACGCTCTTAAAAAATACCTTTTTATATATATAGTTATATAGATTAGAATTAAAATCGGAGTATAACCGGATTTAGTTTGCATAATAATACTTTCCTCATATATATAAAACTCAAAATTTGTATCAACACATTTTATTGATATGATTCTCTTATCTATTCTTAATATCTAATCGACCAGTCTCCGAATACAATTTATTTACCATTTCATTAGTATCATTCACTCTCCTGTCTCGCTGTTACAAGATAACAATTCATTTACCATGGTATGATTATCACATAATAGCAACGCGTTCATTTTTTGCGTTTTCACAAGATTATTCCAATTTTGACGGATATAACTTAACGCACATGCCTTCAGCCTCTCATTTCCAATTCTCAAAGAAATCTGAAGAATTTCATCCCACAAATCAGCATTTATCAACTTTTCCATCTCTAACGCCACAAACTCTTCCAGCTGTTTCACTTCATACATATTTGCCAACCTGATTAGATTTTTTGAAACATCCCATGATAAAACTAATTCTTCAGGAAATTTTCCCGTATAAATAAAGTAGATCAGGATGTTAAAATGTTCGTGTCGAACGTTCTGAACCTCGATCGTTTGAGGCTTCCGATGTTTATTAAAACATCTTTGAAAAAAGGTGGATCTTAGTCCAAGGATTAAACTCGAAGCATAAATTCGATTATTACAATCAAACAAAAAAATGATGTCTGAGGATTCTTCATTGTTAAAATCTGATTCAAACGAGGTATGAAATTTTGGAATTGTATTATTAATCGGGTTATACGTGATGAGTCCAAAATTTGGGCAATAAAAATTCGTTCGGATCAATATGTGCGCATCGTGAATCGCGTTGTTATCAAAGATTATTTTAGAATCACAAAATTGTTGAATTCTATAATAATGCGTATTTTCATTGGCTTTACGTGTGTAATGTCCTTGCGGTGGGTAGGATTTAATCAGAGTCGTTTGATTAGTTGAATCGGAGAGAAACAATTCAACTCCAATTCTGACCATTCTGCTATAAATTTCATTATCATCGTCAAATTTGTTTTGACAATAGAAAATGAACAAAGATAGGTAACTTTGTTCGTTAGATGATTTAAGCTTGATCCGCCAAGGTGTACCAGGATCTAAAAGATTAATATTCGGATCTTCTATCGAGTGCCTTGTTGTTGATGGAGGTGAAATGAATTCGTCACTATGAAGCTCCGCATTATTTTCATCTTTATAAAGACGTTTAAAGTTTTTAATTAACCAATCGTATGAAAAAATTAATTTGTCATCCCACATCAGATACATCGTATAATGCGGGTTTATGAATTTTTGCGGTTTATGAGGAAGGGATGGTCTTTTGGCTATTTATTGTTGTTATTCACGTCATATGACACGACAAACGAAGCTTGGTAAGTTTACTAACAGGGAACACGGAAATTATGAATAAAAATGGAATTTTAGCACAAAATCGGTACAACACGGAATTTATCGTTATTTTATGTTTTTTCACTAGAACCTAGAAAATGAGAACGGGTTAAAAACCGTGATTATTGTGATTGCGAATTTAATTGTAAAAATAAACAGTGTTTGCATTTGAATTATGTCCAATAAAAATTTCATTTTGACACATATATATGGACATATAAGATTCTATATTCCAAATTTGTCCAAATTCACTTCATTGAAAACACTGGATTGTAAATTGCAAAACGGGTTTCGTGCCGATATTTATGCAAGTTCCAGGCGAACTATTTGACTACTATTCATAAAAGTTTTTGGTGTTGGCCGACTTAGCCCGGAACTATGCATAATGCTAGAATAATGTGTTCGGCGCTACATCGGACTTTTTGTGTAACAGCGTCTCTTACATTTCAGAAATTAAATTATTTTAGTCGAGTACTCTAAAGGCGTGAAAAAAAAGATGGTCAACACAAAGATAATCAGGCAGAGAGAATCGCTGCCAGTAAGTTTTTTCCTTTATTTTGCTCTTATTATAATAGTTATTGTTCTGACGTGCTGTTTGATTAAAAGGTTTTTCCTTACAGACAAGAAATAATTGACGCGATAAAAAATGAACCCTTGCTCGTAGTTATCGGAGAGACCGGTATGTGACCTCTTAACCTTGGTAATTCATGATTTAAGTTTAATTCTCTTTAAATTTATAGGATCTGGCAAAACAACACAGATCCCTCAGTACATGTTAGAAAGTTTTCCAGAATTCAGGTTAATTGGAGTAACTCAGCCTAGGTTTGTTGTAAATAAAGTTTATGAAATTTCAATATTCCGAGTCTATTATTCCATTTACGCCTTTTCAATTTAATAGACGTATAGCAGCAATTACTGTAGCTAATCGAGTATCTGAAGAACATGGATGTAGATTAGGTGAAGATATCGGATATTGTATACGGTTCGACGATTGTACATCACCAAAAACACGTTTAAAATATATGACTGATGGTGTTTTGTTGCGTGAGGCAACTATCGATTCACGATTAGGACATTATGATGCTATAATTGTTGATGAAGGTATATTTATATTAATTATATTAATTACATTTGATTTGGTTGAATTGCTTAATTCTAAATTACTTTTGAAACTTATAGCTCACGAAAGAACACTGGAAACTGATGTTTTATTTGGATTATTAAAAGAAACTCATCGTTTACGTCCAGAATTAAAAATTCTTGTAATGTCTGCAACACTTAATGTAGAAAAATTTTCGGATTTTTTTAATAGTTGCCCAATATTTGTTATTCCTGGGAGAACACATGATGTGGCAATTAATCATCATCGTGATGCAAAGATTTCTAGCCTTAAATCAACTTTTGTTCAACGCTCTGTAGAGACCTCCTTATATATTCACACTCAAGAACCTCCGGGCGATATTTTGGTATTTTTGACTGGCCAGAATGAAATAGAGAAGGCATGTAGAGACCTTGAAGATCTGGATCGAAACTTAAATTATAAACCTGATGTCAAATATTACGAGGATGTAAAGGGCTTGGTGATATACCCTATTTATGCTACGTTGGAAACTATGGAACAAAAAGCTATATTTGATGATCCTCCTCGATATACTAGAAAGGTTGTGTTTGCAACTAATGTTGCTCAGGTAATGAATGTTTCTATTTCTATCATTAAATCGTTTAACTACAATTTAAATCTTATTAATCATACTATCGTTCTTTAGACTTCTGTAACAATACCTGGTATCAAGTAATTACTTTAATATGTGTCTTTTGTTTGTATATTTGTTTAAATGACTGAATTTTTTATTTTTTTTTTTCTTCTATCTATACATAAATCCATCAAATTATTTAAGATACGTTATTGATTCCGGGTTTGTGAAACAAAAGACTTATGATCCGACTACTGGAATGGATGCCCTTTTAGTTGTACCGATTTCCCAAGCCGCCGCTACACAAAGGGCTGGTCGTGCAGGTCGAACAGCTTCGGGTCAAGCTTTTAGACTTTATAGTCGTGAGTCATATGAACAGTTGGAACCAGATACTGTACCGGAGATACAAAGGAGTAGCTTATTGGGTACAGTACTTAGTTTAAAGAAAATGGGGATCAATGACATTATCAACTTTGAATTTATCGATCCACCTGATCCTGCCATGGTGAAAAATGCTTTAAAACAACTCTTTTTGTTAGAAGCTATAGATGATACTGGAAAGCTCACTGCTATGGGTAACGAAATGTCAATTTTTCCATTAAGTCCCTTCTTATCTAGAGTATTAATCGCGAGCGCAAGACAATATGAATGTAGTCGAGAGGTTTTAATAATAGTGGCAATGCTTTCGGTTGAGGAAATTTTCATATCTCCAAGGAATGCTGAAAAACAAATGGATGCTGATGAAAAAAGAAAAGAGTTCTATCATCCCTCAGGAGATCATATGATGCTATTGAACATTTTTGAAAAATTTCGAGATAATGGTTATAGCCGTGATTGGTGTAGAGATAAATACTTTAATTATCGAGCTTTATCGATGGCTAAAAGCATTCGTGATCAACTCAAAGAATTAATGGAAAAACATGATCTTCCGTTGGTTTCATGTCGACTAAAAAATTATCAAGTCAAAGATGATGGTGGTAGGCAGAGGAAAAAACGAAGAAATTCTTATCAAGATGTTAAGTATAATGTCGAAAAAATGCTTGAATCATTTTCTACTTCGTATTATATAAACCTAGCAAAAAGGCATCCTCATCGTCCGGTATTTTATCACTATGCATCAGCCACCGGTCCTGGCAGTGAGAGTATAGATTCAAATTCGTCGTTGTTGGCGTTACATATTTCTCCTACATCCGCGTTACATCCTGATAATAAAGTAGTTAGGGTTGATGATTTAGATTGGGTAACTTATCATAGCGTTTTATACACGAATAAGGCTTTAATGAAAGTTGTTAGCAAAGTCAAACTAGAATGGGTGCAAGAAAGACTAGGTTTATTTAAAAAACTGGCAGCAGCAAATTTGGATGCTTCTTGTAGCAAAAGTAAAAGTGAAAACAATATGCAAGATGATACGAACGATGATAATGACAATAAAGTAAATTCAACGATGGTTGATGTACAAGAAGTAAAGAATCAAGATGATGAGAAAAAAAGAAAAAGATTAGAAGTCATCGAAGCTGCGAGACAAAGAGCATTGGCTAGAAAATCCATTACCGATCAAGATTGACATGAGCTTGAAATATAATAATATGTAATGTTGAGCTGCGACATTTTTATGTTGGACATTTAAATAAACTAGCCTTTCATATGATTGATTTATACAAACTTTTATTAAAAATAAATTTATTATGGAAAACTTGCATTTTTCTAAATGTGCGTTTGATAAAATGCACTTCATTTTTGCACGTCTGAAATGGGGCGGGTACACCATGAGATTTTCCGATCATTAATCATCGGATAATCACGGGACATATCATTATAAACGAATTGTTTTAATTCTTGCTTTGGCAGAGTTAAATTTGGTTTAATGATTATAAAGAAATTTTTGGTAAAAGTTTAAAAAAAGATTCGAATATCAAAAAAAAAAACCAAATTCGGGTAAGTTTTTCTTTTTTGAACTTTAATCAAAAATTTCTCGGCAACCAACTATCCAAATTTGATAAAATTTCTTTTATTTTAACTCTCTTAAAAGTTCATAGAATTAAATAAAAAAATTCATCGAATTTGAATTGTTGGTTTCCGAGAAATAATCATTAAAAGTTAAAAAAAATTTGCCCGCAGCTTTTTCTTTTGTAGATGTTGTAAACTTCAAATGAAGATTACTCAACACTAACCTGACCAAATTCAGTCAAACTTTTCTATTTTGAAAATTTTGGAAATTGGCCAGGTAAGTGCTGAGTAATCTTCATTTAAAGTTTACACATTTACAGAAGAAAAAGCTACAGCCAAATTTTTTTTGACATCTAATAATTATTTCTTGGTAACAATTCCAATTTAATAAACTTTTCTTTCATCGAATTTGGATAATTAGTTGCCGAAAAATTTTTATTTAATGTTTTTAAAAAATTTTTTAAAAAAAAAGATTATCTTATTTTTGCGAATAACGCGCAGGGTGTAATTTCGAAATTTGGCTCGAATTAAGCTTAATTCGGGTCAAAATTCAAATAACGCTCTGCGCAAAAATTGTTATTTAAATTTTTCTTGACAACTAAATTTGATAAAAAATTTTTAAAAAATCTTTAAATTATAAATTCTTTAAATCTATATATTATTGTAATTTTGTGATTTTATAAAGTTTATAAAAGATTATTGTAAATTGATTAGTAATTTTTTTAATAAAATTAACACATCTTGATTTATATTTTTTGCAACTTTATAATTTTATAGAAGTTTATAAAAGATTATAAATTAATTAGTAATTTTTTTTAATTTTTTTTTTTTCTTTTGATAACTGTAATTTTTTTTAATAAAATAAATACATCCTGATTTATATATATATATATATTTGGTATTAAAATAACCTCTTGGGGTTTGGGCTCTATAGCTTAGTGGTTAAGCTGCCAAACCCCCACAGTATAAGTTAAGGTCCACGGTTCGATTCAGGCTGGAGGCGAAAGAAACTCTGTAACCTTATGATGTTAGGAGCTAATAATCGGAT